AATCGGGCTAAGCGCTAATACCAAGCATTCAAATGTGGTATACGCCACTGTATGAATTCACCCATATCGTTAACACTAGCACAGAAACCTTCTCGCTTTGTTGTCATAGAGTCTGTACATTTTTCCACTCCAAAAACATACTGGGGTCGGTCATCAAGAGTCTAGGTTGCTGATAACACTAGATACTCGCGAATTCAATGGTTATATAAACGACCTGTATACTTCTACATATAACAGTAGATTCACGAAATGCAGTTCTACAATACATACACAAAAGGACAAAACTCTATTGGGCAATATTCTGTAGCCAATTGTTTTCGTGAGAGAAGGAACCAAGCAATCATGATTACAGTCATCAATGCTATCATAAACGAAAAAACAAAAAGAATTAGCTATATACATATATATATATATAGGTAAGGATTTTCCTTTTACTCTCCACGCCTACTGGTAAGGAAGTATTGTAATCGCAAAAAAAATCAAAAATAAGACACGTTTTTTGAATATTATATGACATGAACATCACGAAATGTCGGAAAGTACCGCTTGAATTTGGATGAAATTTTAACGAAAAGTTACTAATATACCAAGAAGCTTTGTATTTTTTGAAAATCGGTAGAGTGGCAGTGCAGCTACGGAGAAAAATTAAAAAATAGAAATCGCTTAAACCTCGTTTCTTGACGTGTCAAAGGCTTCTGATCATATCGAGAAAAAAATTGTATGAGTAAAAAATTTGAGGTTTGAAAGTTGTGGGAGGACGGTATATCCCAATTTTTAATCTTAGTATATGTATAAGCTTCCTACCTATTTAATTCTACGCATCTATTAGACATATTTTACACATCTTAGATTTCCCCGTTCATTTGCTCTTAAAACTTTATAATAGATACAAGTTTTCGATACGCGTCCCTGCTTGTGCTCTCTGGGTTCATCGGCGGACGTGAGGCCTCGACAAATGTCCGACCATTACTGCCGCGCCGCCACTGGTCAGGTATGAGGAAGGAGCGCCGTTGTCAGATTGATAGTACTACAGGTAGGGAAGGGAAAAAATGTCTAAGAACTAATTTCATGGGCATTTTGTCTCAAAGGGTCTAATTTTCGCTGAACTGATGACGGCGTGCGTTGGAAGTGAACAGTCAATCTACTTGATGCTATTTTTAGAAAAAGCTACGTTTGGACAACATTAAAAAAAGTTCACTCACTCTTCATCTGATAAGAAGTTTCAAGTGCCGTCTTGCCACATGCTGGTTATACTTGTAAATACTGCTTGAAGTTGTCTCGTTCAATTCAAATATATAATAATAATAATAAACGTCTTTATTTCCAAATAGACTGAGTATATAAAAAATAGCCAAATACGGGCGAAGTTCAGCTGTAGCTGCTCTTCTACTTAACCCGCTATAAAAAGTCTGTACAAAAGGTGAGTGAGACCTACTTATTTTACACATTACAATTACTAAATGTATATTGCAGTGCTTACATTAATACATCTACTATAAAAGAAACATAAACTTGTATCAATATTTTCCTGAAACATGGTTACTACTGCTGGGATAAGAGATATTTTTTTAATTGAGTTTTGAAACTTGAGATGCTCAGAGTTTTATATTGTACCGGAAGGGTGTTATAAATGGAACAAATTTGGTAGCTGAACGATCGTTCAAATTGGGCTGTTCGGAATATCGGCGGTGTCAACAACCCCCTGGATCTTATATTGATGTTATGCACATCTGTTCGAAATGTAACTTTTTCAAATAAGTAAGTGGGGGTCTTATACAAAATACATGTTCAACCAATTCGCATCTTTCAACTTATGCGATATTCGGTCTCGTCTTCTGATGCCATATATTAATCTGAGGCAAGAATTCTGCGCAACCTGAATTTTTTGTTTGTAAGTGGCAGTTAAGCACGGGCCATACAACATATCAGAAAAATTGAAGTGCGAGAGCACCAACGACTCACATAGATTTATTTTGACTATAACGGGAAGGTTACGTCCGTTGCCGTACAATATTTTTAAAGGGGAATATGCCTTACGAATGAGCGAATTTACATGTTTTTCAAATCTTAAATTTACATCCAGTGTTACACCCAAGTTCTTTGCTTCTCTGACAGTTTCAAGTTGTTGTGCATTGATGGTAAAGTTAATTGAGTTAGTAACAGCCTGGCGCGCATGCTTTGGTCCAAATACAATTACTTTAGATTTGCTAGACTTAAGATGTGAACAATGTTCTTCGGCATTATATATTACCTTCTTCCCAGATTTGCAATATTCGGTTCTGTTCAGGTCTGCCAACCTCGACGCTCCCACAACCATTGTGTGACTTAAACAAATCTACGCATCGCGATAAGGATATCCAGGAAAACGATATAAATATATGCCCGATACATCCTGAGGATATCGTAAACTAAGAACAAATCCACAGCTTTGTTATTGTAATGCCATTCTCGCTTAATTCCAAATCCGATTTACAAACAGCTCGGTCTACCTACACTAATGACAGTACCTCAATTGGTACAGCAAAATTTTGTTTTTGAGCTAAAAACTGTGATGTATATCTTTGCTTAAGGTAATGGAAATAGACATAATAAACCATAATATATTCAGAATCAGAAAAAAAGCGACTGTCATTTAGACTGAAAATACACAGGGTGTTCAATTTAAAACACAGTATTCAATAGTACATATCTGAGAAAACCTGTGAATAAAATAGGTAATTCCTGAAGAACCATATATTAAACCCTACAACTCTTGTATATGGATTTTCTTCAAGGGTCCCACTGTACGTGTTACTACGAAATTTTTTTTATTTTTGCGCGCTGTGTGGAGGAAGGTTTTACCGTTAGGAATATCTAATTTCAAAATATAGTAGAGCTAGTCCTAGGCATTCACAATGCCGCCAGAAGGTTGCTTGAAACTCGCAGATTTTTGTTTCCAAATTTCAGGAGAGATAAACACTCAAGGTGAGATTTTTCTATAAAAAAAAATTGTTTGAACATCACCACTGCCTCTACGACTCGTTGGTTGAGAGCAACTGACCGTAACCATATAACATGATCAATTTTTGTTCGGTGCTGGTCAAGTCATTAAAAAGTTTGAACGTTTTCCCTCATCAATGCCCTTCACATTGATCGATTGCTAGTGATAAACTTTTTTTCAGCTCCAGAAGTTCTCCTCAATACGCTATTTGCTTTGAGTGCTTCTGCTTTGAAATACTTTTCGAAATTAGGAACACTCTTTCATCATTTTCGTGCCGTGAGGTGGAAATGTAAACGTCTCTGGCGTAAAGGGAAATATGTACGGCTTTTTATGGTTTTCCAGCGGATAAATAGCTACGGTCGGTGAATACAAATACAAAGCAGACACCTGTTATATACATACAGGGTATTCCAACGAAAATGGAAAGTAGCTTTATGAGCAAACTGGAAAGGATATAAAAAAAACTGTTTTCTCAACTCAATATGTTACCAGTACACATTTTAAAATCATTTTAATATATTAAACATATATTTTTTTATGTAGAATACCTTATTTTTATTGCACATTTGAATAGAGCTACCAAAAACAAGAAGTTTGATATCATATAACATATGGCTTCGATTGTTAATAGGTCCAACGCCTGAAGAAATACCCAGATTTGACGGCTCTCAGCTCTGCCACTTTTGAATATACTTATGTAAATGTTAGTTCACAAAACTTTTATTATCATCGATCTTGAACAGATCTGGAAGAAGTGCTAAAATTTCTTCCTATTTATAAGGGCTATCTCAAAACTCAAAATGTACCTATTCTCAAAAATTTCAAATGGAACACCTTGTATATTTCGACATCGTTAAATAGTTTTTTTGGTGATTATTTTTTCTGATATAAGGTTTATACAACTTTTTTCAAAACGTTTTTTAGTTTCAAGAAAAACCAAATACATGTTATATTTAAACATGAAAATTGCCTTGGGTGTTGTAGGTTTTTCCTGGTACACATCTCCTTTTACATGGCTCCTGAAAAAGAAGTCGAGAGGCGTCAGATCGGGAGATCTCGCTGGCAAGTTGGTGGGTCTACCTATCCCTAATCAATTTCCAACTACCAGCAGTCTGAATACTCCCGAACCGCTCGATATTTTTTTTTCTTGGAATCAACAGTAAAAACTCTAAAAAATTGGTATAAATTTTACATCAAAAAAAGCTCCCAAGGCAGACTACTCGTATTCAACTATATAGAAGTATACACTGTATACTATATGTATTTTAGCATTTCTTGCAGATCAGCTAATATCGTCGATAAAATTTTTGTGGACTAGCATTTATATATCATCGAAATGGCGGAGATACGAGCCGTCAAAGTTGAGCATATTTTCAGACATTTTACTAAATTTAAATAATTGACAATCGAAACCGTATGCTATATATCAAACTTCTCACTTTTAGAAGCTCTATCCAAATATGCAATTAAATATAGGGTGTTTCTATTTAGAAAAATGCATGTTTGCTATGTTACGAAGTTATGGAGTACCATGTATATAATAAAACACTTTAAAAAGATGCACCAGTAACCTATTAAGGTACGACAACAGATTTTTGATATCTTTTCAAGTTTGCTCAAAAAACTAATTTTCATTTTTCTTGGAACCCTGTGTATTCTAAAATGGGTGAATTTTGGACAAAAATGGCAAAATTGCGAACTTGGGCATTTAAAGAACAATTGAACATCAAACTGAAAAGAGATATGATGACGAAACTTTAAAATACATATGTTCTAAAATATTTAAATGCAAAAATTCCATAGATGCAATCAACTTAAAATTTGAGTTAGTTTTAAGGCCGAAAACCCAACTTACAGACCATGACACAGTCTGATGTAAATTTTCTCAAGCATTCAATAAAATATTCTACCCTGGTACTGTACTGGCACAATGAAAAATAGTCTTGAGCACGTTGATGCCAACATGTGCCTTCAGGATCATCTTTTTCTCGAAACGCCGTTTTTATTAGGATAATTACAGCAAAGGAGGAAATGGTAAGGAATACGAGTACTACTGTAGTTATGTGGGATGTGGATGCAAGTAAACCGTTCCTAAAAACATCGCTTTGCAGCAGTAGATGCTTCGTTGAGCAATTTCATTACAGTTCAGACGTCAGCTCTGACGAAGAAAGGTAGCTCTGATGTTCACTGCGGTTTACCTGAAGTGGGAAACGTAAAAGAAAACCAGCTTCACCAGTGAGGTACGGGATAGACTACGAACAAATAATATTTCTCATGCTGAAATCCAGTCTATTGAATATTCGAACCTCCCTAAATTGGCAACCACTCACATTTTAGGTAAAAAATGACGTCAAGTAGGTTGACTCATGAATTCATAAAGTATTATATTTAGTACAAGTTAATCCCATTTCGGCAAATTAGGCTGCTACTGCCGATAAGCCGGTATACAAATCGGTATCGTGGCGTCAAGTAGTTTGTAGTCATGAATTCATAAAGGATTATATTTGGCAAGTTAGTCCCTCTTCGGAAAATTACAAATCGTATCGGTCGATCCCTCGAATAAATCCTTTTCACACTTATTAATCACGAGACCATAATAATGAATACACTTCTTGCATAATTATTCTCCCTTGTGTGACATAAGTTAGAGAAGCGCCACTGGTTTGCAGTCATCTCTTGTAGCTGCTCCGTGCTCCGAACCTGAATCGCGTACTCTCCCACACTCACTCATTTCCACCTACAACAGTAGCTGGAGCTGCTTTTGCAGCAGCTAATAAAAGCGCCCTTAAGCCCTGCGAGTATGCAAAATGATGGAGAAAACCTCACTTCCATTTGCAGTTAATTTACTTTGAGGTGCTCAAGTACAAAAAATAGAATCAAGTAGCTTCACTTCCCACGCAACCTTCTGAACAAATTAGCCCTAGCTAGAGACAAGTATAATAAAAAATTAAATGGGTCAATCAGCTAAATAGACCCATATAAATAATAATAATAATAATATTTATTTGCCATTTTTTCACAGTATGAAAATAAACGATATATTTGCAAATAAATATTCTAGTGCTCACAGAAGGTACGCACCTTGTGCGTGAGTTCAAATTATTAACCTAACAATAAGCAAAATTCCTTGATTTTATCATTTTTCACCCTTTTTTTTGTTCCTCTGACCATTTATTTTGAATTTATAATATATAAGCATCAATGAAGAGAAAACATTTTCTGTCATGTATAAAGTCTCGTCATTTGCCCAATCACTGTTACAATAGTATACGTCCATACAAAAGTTTGATATATAATATCCACTGAGCTATGATGTGATTACAATGAAACCCGTCCCAGAAGAAAATTTTCTCTTGGCTATGAGTGTTGTGATTGTCCGTAAGTGGTAGACGGTCTCTGACTGTCGAACGCGGAGGTACCACCCGGCGGATCTCGTAGGCAGGGCCAGAATGTGTGCATGTTGAATGCACATCTGTTCCCTCGTCAGAGTCCGTGTGGCGTTCCCCCTTTCCCCTGTATCCCCCTATAGTCCCACGGTACCCCATGGTGTTTAGGCCTCCGTGGTAGCTGGAGAATAAAGAAAAACATACATTCTTATTAACTTATTTTGTTGTTTATATTAATTACATACCTATATAAAAGCTTTTGAGAAACTCATTATGAGTATTAATCCTTGTTACAGCCAAAGAAAATATAAATAATGCTGTTATTTGTCCTTTTTTAGATCAACATATTGATAGTCTCTTGCTGTTGGCAACCGTTTGAACCAGTCTTTCAGCTTTACTTTGAATAACTCCAAGGTGTTAAGTTGCTTCAAATCCTGCGGTATTATATTATAAGATGTGAGACCAAGAAATACAAAAGATCTTTGCATTACATTTTTGTCCGGCCCTGATACTTCCTTAAAAATCATTACGTGTCTTACTCGTATATTTGTGTTGAGTGAATAAATGTTTGTTATTTCTATTTTTATTTTGAGATAGTATTATTCGATAGAAATACTTCTGTCATATGTCAAAGAATTTTATTTTCTGGTAAAGTTCTATAGTCGGGTAACGGAATGGTCTATTATACATTACTTTTAAAATAATTTTTGGATGATCTCTAATGGGTTTATGTGAGAACTATTTGCTCCCCTCCATGCTGTAATAGCATAGTTGATATGAGTCTCTACTAATGAGTAGTATGTTATCTCTAAGGACTTGATATCTAACATTGTTTTTAAGTACTTTAATTTAAATAGAATTGTTTTTAATTCTTTAACTGTGTGTGATGTATGTCCACGTCTCAAATTACTGTCTATATATACTCCTAGATATTTGATATTGTTTGTTTCATTTACCGTTAAACTTTCATTTTCTTTTGTCCTTATCGTTAGAGTGTTATATTTAGGTAGAGAGTTTATACTGCATGAAAATGGAATAAAAAATGTTCTATCAAAATTAATTGTCAACAGCCTGTGGTCAAACCATATGTACGATGTCAAGTTCAGCTTCTGTTTTAGTATTATTCCATGTATCTGATGCATGTACGAGTATGATAACAGCATCATCATCAAAACTTACTATTGTTCCTATTGTGACCAGTCTATATAGTTCTGCTAGATATATGTTGAACAATATTGAACCTAGGACCGTACCTTGAGGGATGCCGTATTTGACTTTTTTGTAGTCGCCTTCATAACCTTTTATACTGACACATTGGAATCTATCAGTTAGGTAACTTGTCATTATGTTAAATCCATTTCCTCCAAATCAAATACTGTCCAGTATAACCAGTAGTACGAGTAGTTTGTGAGTGACTGTGTCAAACGCTTTAGCTAAGTCTATGGAGGTACATAAACAAGGATAATTTTCATCAACATGCATAGTTATTTTGCTGATTACATATTCTACTGCATCCTGCACCGATTTCCTCTCGATAAAGCGAAATTGATTATTATCAGACAAAATTTTATTTTTTTGTATGTAGCTCACGATTCGCTTTTTTAATATTTTTCTAAGACTTTCGCTAGCGATAATATTAGCGATATAGGTCTATAACTGAATGACTCTAGTTTATTTCCTGCTTTGTAAATTGGTGTTATTGAGCTTAGTTGAAAAGCTTTAGGTATGTGCCTTTCCTGATCCAATTAAATATATAGCAATGTGGTTTAGCAACTTGTGCAACTGTTTTTAACACTTCAGCACGAATTCCATCAGTTCCTGAAGATTTCATATTTTTGAGTGACAATATTGTGGAGACTACTTCTTTCTCACTCGTTTCTTCGAGGAAAAATGATCTGCATAGTGTGATTTTATTGAAGTTAGTACGTGCTTGTTGATTTTTTATATTATTAGCCAGGTTTTCACCAAAACTGCTACAGTATTCTATGAAATTGTCAGCTATTTCATTAATGTCATTTTTTATGTTTCCTTGGAGTGTTTTCATTTCTTTCATAGATTCTCTTGTAGTGCCGGTCGATGTGAATTCTCTTACAGTTTTCCATAACGATGAATTGTTTGCACTGTTTGTTTTTAGTTGCTTTTCACAATATTGTCTTTTACCCATTTCTATGGAATTCTACGGTTCATTTTTTTGTTTTTATAATTTATTATGTTTTCTGCAGTTGGATGCTGTTTCATTAATTTATAAAGATTACTCTTTTCATATGTCATTCTTAGAATTTTGTTTGTTAGCTATGAATTTCTTTTTTACCTCACTACGTTTCAATTTGACTATGTTTGCGCTCATATGTATCAAATATTTGATTTTTGCCACAAGCATGTCTGCGGCTTTTTCTATTGTTTTGCAGAAACACGTCCGTCCATTGCTCTGAGTTTAAATTGTTTAATATTTTAGTTTTGCCAAGAGATTACTTCATTTTTTAAGTATTATGTGTATGTTCACTTGACAATATCTGAAGTATTGTGGGATATTGATCCGTAATACTTTCTTTTATCAAAATAGGCTGAAACTTAAGATTTTTATTGATTTTTTTGACAAAAACATGGTCGATACAACTTTTTGATTCCCCTTGTATGCGAGAATGTGCATTTATATATGATTCAAAACCATGAGCTCCTAGGACATCTTAAATAGTGTTGTGAAATTTCGGAATTTCTTAGTATATGTATACAAGTCTCCAATCAGAATATGTACTCCGCATCTATCAGTGTCAAGGTAGTCACATTAGTTATCACCCAACCATTTGATAACGCTAACGCTAGTTTCTTCTCTGACCTAAGTATCGACCATCTGGCAATGGTGCTGAGCCACACTTGTCAACCAAGTGCTAGCCACGATACTATAGAGATTTTTTCGCGAGATCCCGTTGTGTACAGGAGCGGGAACAGATGGAATTTCCCCTTCCTCTCGAAGTTTTGACAGTTTCCAGTTACACCGGGAATAGTTAGATGGCGCATGTTGTGCAAAATGTTAGCTTTAAGATCCTTAATAAACTTAGCTGTCTTTTTAGAATCTGAGTTGGTCCGAGTAAAGATAACATGGCCACGCAAGACAAGTATTGAAATATAGTCTACTAGACTCCAGAAGACTATCCGTAGCGAAATTTTTCTCGAAATCGTTGCACACCGCTTAAAAAATACAAATGAAGATTGGAGAACTGCGGCTTTGACGTACTGTATGACTCCGTCGTTACCCCGGGATAGACATACGTTTTAAAGTTTTAGCAGTTGACCCTGTCATTCTTGTCACCTGCGTTGCCAGCGCATCGGACAATTTTGCTATAGTCAACGCCAAACAAAGTGGCGTGCACGTCATCAAGGTGGGTGTGTTGAAAAATTTACATTGTTGCCAAACTTTTTGTAAAATAATAAAATTTATTATTTACATATCTAGGTTTATAAGCAATATTAACCTCAAATGAGAACAAAAATAATAGTATAATAAAATTATAGATCTGTACTTGCATAATCATTAAGTATGACAATTATTGATCAGATGACACTATGAAACTACCATATTTAATTGATAGCTTAAAGGTACTGAATAAAAATCCAAATGGGGTCCTCCAAATTTTATGCATGGTATTTATTTTACAGAATTCATACAGAAAAATGCATTCTAAAATTAGGTAAGCTACTGGTGTAAGCTTTTTCTGTACAATAAAGTTAGTCGGAGTTTCTTTCTTCAGCGCTGTCTGAATCTGAATCTTCATCACTCTCAAAGT